GCATTTAAGTTGACATTGAATTGTTTACCCCATTTTCTATTGGCTGGTGCTCCAACCTGACCCACTACAGCGACCAAACAGTAGCACAGGCCTCAGATCCCTTCAGACCCATGATTGGTTAACCAGTGACCATATGTATAGTGAGTAAGGGTGATGATGTAATACAGCAGCCTTAGGTCTCAGCACAAATGACCGCCTGATGCCTTAGTCACGTTCCTCTTCGCGTAGACAGTAACCCGACGCAGAGCGAGAGTGTGTGAGACTGTGAGACGAGTCATAACAATAACACACAAATCTCAACATCAGCCTCAATAAACCGCCGTCACCACTTCACCTACGCCGCTCTGTCTCCTCTGTGTTTGTGTCCCAGGGCTGCCGATTGGAAGCTGGACGCTCCTGACTGGACGGGACGCATGCGTGTGACGGCCCGGGGCAATGTGGCCTACGTGAAACTGGAAGACAAAATCTCTGGTGAGAGAGAGAGGACAGCAGACAGGACAGTTGCCGTTGTTTACCGGCACTGCCGCTGTTGTAAATCATTTCGCTGTGTATTGTCCTTGAATGCCATCAACCCCCCCTTCTTCCTCTCTGTTACTCGTCTATTACAAGGTGACCCAGCCCACGTCCAAGCCGCTTATTCAAGCAGACAGGCTGATGATATTTCCGTCTCCTTCTGCGCATCCCTGTCGTCCTCAGATTGTACCTTAAATTGGCCTGTTTAACAAGACTAGAATCCACCTTACATGTTTTATTCTTACACAGGAAAAAACATTTAATTGTCTATTTTAAATCTGAAAGTTTCTTAGTTGAGTTTTGGCTTGGTGACTGGAGCCTTTTGCCAGATCGATAAATGAACACATGTCTTTTGTTTTAACCTGCAGGGGAGCTCTTTGCCCAAGCGCCATTGGACGAGTACCCTGGCATCGCAATGGAGACGGTCAGTGACTCGAGCCGTTACTTTGTGCTCCGCATCCAGGATGACAACGGTGGGTAAACGGTTTGTCGTTAAGCCATAAACATTCAGTAAATGTGCTCATAATTTAGAGGACAATGATCCGAAGCACAGGCACGTAGGTATTTTTACAGTTTATTGAGACGCTCGTAGGTTTAGTATGTACTACCTTGCCAATCCTTTACCAACCCTTGATTGTTGTGTTCATTTAGGGCGCAGTGCGTTCATAGGCATTGGGTTTGGAGACCGAGGCGATGCCTTTGACTTCAACGTTGCACTTCAGGACCACTTCAAGTATGCAGCTGCTTCCTAGTGTGTCATGAATCAAAGCTAATTCAGGAGTGATTTATTGAACTATCTTTCATCCGTTTGTTTGTCTCCCTCCCTCCAGGTGGGTGAAACAGGAAACTGAATTTATTAGGCAGGCGCAGGCTCCAGACTCTACTCCTAAACTAGACCTGGGCTTCAAAGAAGGACAGACCATTACTCTCAATATTGGGGTAACCTTATTTTCATTAAATGTAAGCTTTGAGGAGTAGGAACCCCCAAATGTATGCTACGATTTAAGATGAAACCATGTGACAGTGGAGAATGAATTTGTGATCAGGGTTTAACTTTGAGTCTAAAACTCAGACCACCCTTCGGCTTTGTTGACAAGCAATCTGTAAACTCACCCAGTTTCTGTTTCTCCTCATTAAATATTTTTTTCCAGCAATCAAAAAAGAAGGACAGGTCTCGTCCGCAGAGTTCAGGTGGCTTTGGGCTTCTGCCACCTCCACCTGGGGGCAAGTTAGCTCCACCCCCATCATCCAGATCTACCAATCATAACACACAACCGTCTGCAGGAGGAAGTGACACTGGTAGGTGTAACACTACAGTGCGGGGAGATGGAGAGAGCATGCACCTACTTGAGTTGCGGTCTGTCTCGTGTTTTGTTTTCTCATAATCTGGATAATAAACACGTCGTGATCTCGATCTGTAATCACCAAATAATTATTAATCACGAGAAAACTATTTGATAGCTTGTTGCATCAAGATCACACAATAATAAATGTGTATAAAGATTATGAGAAGTAGGAAAAATGATGCAGGTCTTGATCCTAAAGAGTGTTATGTTGACATCAGAAAATGTATTCCTCAAGATCACGAGAACAGAGAAATTGGAGATAAATTGTTGTTCTTTTAGTGAACATATCTATGGTTAAACATTGTACTCACCTCTGTTACCATAGAGACAGTCGTATAAAGCAGAGGAAAGTTAGTCCGTCGTTGAAAGCTTGTATTTCCTTGGCCCCACTGGGATCTGTTGTAAAGCTGTTCCCAGTGGAGCACTTGTATCCAGTCTTTACTGTCAAAGTGTTGAGTGCAATGTTATGTTGAGCTGCAGGAATACTAGCCAAAACTGTGAGGTAGACTCCAGTTGGAAAATACAGGAATTTATTTTATTCTGCTTAAAAGAAAATGATGGTTGCTCCTCTCCTTTCTGGCCCTCCGTAGTATAGATGTGTTTATTCTGCAAATCACATCATCTTCTAACTAAGAAGTGTCATATTCGTCCACGTGCATGCTAACTAACCTTGCACATCGTTTCGGTTTCACGTGTTGAGGTTTGTCTCAGATGTCTGCAGCCATTTGAATACAATGGAGGTGAATGGAAGTTTGGTTGTGATGCTTAAAATATGGAAAACACATTTGAAAACTTCAGCAGCAGTTTATCTTTCCACAAATGTTTTCAGTTTTCATTGGATCCACTCTCTACCAAAGAAATAGTCCAGAAGAAACAACAAGGTGTGTGGATTATCCAGAGTAAATGGGAGACTGTTTGATTGCCTCGGTTGTAATGTCTTCAGTGCTTTGAGCAGCACAAATGAAGTTCTATTAGCCTCCATTGTGTTTGGGGGGTAGCGGAAGTTTCTGAGGTTGATATCTCAAAACCTCAGCATATAATACTGAAAGTATCTGCATGGCTTCATACCAGTAGGGTAAGTTACATTTGTATGAATCAGCCCTTTAGCTAAAAACAGTCTTCAGACTTCATAGCAGGTGACCAGATTTTCTTGCTATCTATTAGTAGAATTCACAATACATTTCTTTAAATGCTGAATTCTCAGTCTGATTAGAAACAACATCAAAAATCTATATTTGTGTTACTTTGACAGAGGTGCATTATGTTTCTGTTTTATTTTTTTAACCACCAGGTTTTTTGCTAGACCTGGACTCCAGTAACTCCAACTCAGCGGCTCCATTCGACCCCGCCACCACAGCCAGCTCTGACCTGTGGGGAGACTTTGACTCTGTATCCCCAAAGTGAGGAGAGATTGATTTTGTTTTTCTCCCTTTTATCTCTCTGTAAATTTATGCAGCACTTTTTTGCAAGTTTATTTTCCCCATTATGGGGTCCCGTATCTCTCCCTGCCAAGCAGGGTAACCCCCTGTACTAGTAAGTTTTGTTTTAGCTCAGTTCCTAATGGCTTCTGTTCTTAGCCAGAGATGCACCCAGACCTCACAGTCTAGTCTTAATTTAAAAGATTTAGAACTATAAGCCATCTCCGCATACTTTCCCTCCCCCTCCTCATGGGGATGCTCTTGCTTTACTCCTTCTAGATATCCACTGTAGCTCTCTAGTTTACATTCCCCTGTTTGAATTCTGCCTTGTCCCTCTTTCTCCTCCTCTCAGTGTTTTATTTGCTAATTTCTCTATTAGAGTATACATATTAAAAGTATGACTAAGGGAGACATAATCATAAACATCTGATGATGAAATCTAGTAAAATATTATAATGAATGAATTTTATGTACAGAGAATATTTATTTTAAATGTATATATTGTCAGTAGTTTGTAATTATTGTCATTGGTGTTGTCACCTGTACGTACTGTAGCTTATTTCTCCTCCAAGTCCCTAGCAGTGGGACTGACTATATGCACTGACTGGCAGTCTAGTCTGTCTATGTAGTTAGTAATGCATAAAATCTGAATTTAACACAGGGATTGTTCAAATCTTAGACTTAGGTTATAGTGAAGTTTACCATAAAATGATTTAACTTGAAAGAAATATGTTAAGCTGTAGCTGATTTACAGAATTGTTGTGCTCTCTAACACTCTCTAGTGGGCTCTTGTGACTCTACAGCATCCTTTTTGAGAGAGATGTCAAATTGAGCTGCAGCTGTTGAACACATATTTCACTGGGGATGGGTCCTGGGCACAGTTTGCATTATTTTAACTGTAGATCAGTACAAAGAGACAGGGTAAGTAGGAATGTTGGATGCGATTGGGTGTTACCAAAAGAAAGAGAGGCATCAAGTGCTTTTATCTTTGCCTCAAGGGAAAATAGAGATGATTTAGTCCATGTTATGTCATCTCTACTCAGCACAGCTGTTAAAGCTGTGACTGGTGAGTCATTTAGGTCACGACCCCGCTCCTGCTCGATGAATAAGTCTGTTTCTGCACCGTCCCGGCTGTCTTGGGAGAGCTTTATCTCCTCAATTCCTTACGAGGAGGTGATCAGGTCGTAGACCTCAACTGCAGCATGTTGTACTGTGCAATTGAGTTTTAACTGTGAACTTCAATTCCATGTTATGGTGTGATGTTATTAATGGTATTCTGATGCAGATAAATGCGATGTGGGACCAAGCTGGTCTGTGTTTGATGCAGTGTTTTTGTTGTGATATTGTTACATAGCGAGAGATGGATTATGTTGCACTGGTATCACATGCACATGTGTTGTGACCATTGACAGTATATATAGGTTGTGACAGACGACAAGTGGTGTGATGGTGGATGATGATTGGAGCACAGAGAGATTGTGTGAGTGTAAAGCCCTAACAATGTTTGTCAGTGTTTACTGTTTAAATTATATGCATCTCTCCCAAATGTTACTTGTTATTCAAACTGTATATGTGTATGGAAATGTATATGGAAATGAATATGCAAAGAAAAACATAAAGATATCACTCTATGACCATAATGTTTATTTGTTTTTGTGTTTTTTTTCCTCCTAAATCAACAGAGTGAAAAAGAACAAACCAACGGAGAATTAACTTGTGAACAAATGTAGTTTTATTTTCTTGGATACAATAGTGCACGTAATACGGGATTGTGAATGAGTACCTTACAATCCAAAACAGAGTGGGTCTTTCTTTGTACAATGAAATGACTCAGTGCTGCTATAGGCCCATTACTACAGTACCTTAAATGGGTCGTAAACCATGGAAGACATGATCTGTGTCTAACAACACACAGACGAAATGAGCACACGTTCAGCGTTCACACACAAAAGACTAATACATAAAGATAGATATGACTCAGCTCACTTGTGTGTATGTGTGAAAGAGAAAGAACGAGACCCCCAGGTGTTGAGTGGTGGATTTATGGTGTTATGGGCTGTTTTTATGACAACGCTTCTGGTTTTGGTCTCTGAGGGGCTCCATCCTCACCGGTGGCCACATCAGGCCTTGTTTGCCCAGGTTTTGGGGTTGCTACGGCGATTGCGACAGCGTTTCCTATTAGATGACCTCTCGACACGCCTGGGCCACCCGGACAACTCTCTGCACAGTTCGGCTGTAACGTGCGAAAGACACAGATTTGTGTTAATGCGCGATCACGCACTCAACATCATGTTTGTTTGACTTGAGAGTGTCTCACCTTTCAGAAACTCATCCTGCTGGCATACTGTCCTCATGCAGATCTCATTGTTGATCACATAGACACGAGGAAGGCTGTATCAGAAATATAATAGCATCATGAGTATTGTTAAAGAACTGTAGTAGTGATACAGTTTGAGTAACTAACAGTAGGCTAACTAAAACATTTAAAGACTGATCTTACCAGTAGTGGAACATCAGGTTGAGGTACTCACTCAAAGTATTTACAATTTGTTTTAGTTTTTTTCACTCCACTGTATTTATCTGCATGTAGATATTGTTGCTTTAATGATTTACAGACAAAATATGGTTAGTTTATGGGGAATTTGTAAGATTGAATTGACCAACAGTAAATAAAGTAGTGAAAATTAGCTCCACCTGGACCAGTTACAGCATTCAAATGTTGCTTGATGCATCCATCATAATCCAAAAATAAAATTTTTACTATCAAAACCCCCAACTGGGGATATTCTGCTGCATAATGAGTACTTTAAGTTGTAGTACATTTAGTTGTTAATTACTTTAATGAAGACCCTAATTCAGGTTCTTATCCTGAGCAACAGAGTCTGACATGAACTCACTGTTTTCTTCAGTTACAGTTTTTGGTTGTTTCACATGAGAGATTTCTGCATTTCTGCTTTTGTCTTTGCTGTTCTCACTGTTTCCAAGTGCGTGACGGCTCAGTTGGAAATAGGTTATGTTACATACATCTGTGCACCAATCCGAGTTCAGCAACATTTGAATCCAAATCTGATGACAGTTGAGTTTCCTTCAGGTTGACAGGCAAAATGTGATCAAACCACACCCACACAGTCCTGATGAAGCAGATTAGTGTTAAATTCACAATAACCCAATAAGGATGTGTTTGATGTGCTCATTTAGTCATGAATATTCAATGTCATAGACAAAAACTCAGGGGGCTTTAAATTAGATTACATGTGTACATGAGTATTTTTATATTGTGGTGTCACTGCTTTCACAGTAAAGGGTCTGAGTGCTTATTCCACTTCTGATCTCTGCAATACGTCATGTGCGCTCAAGAAATGATCACAGATGACGCTATGCACTTAGACATTCACAGCTAAATTCAAAAAGATCACCTGTAGAGACAAAGACCACCAATACATCTCTTGATGGGCCGGTGAACTGAGTACATCCTGGTGCAAGGATACATCTCCTCCCTACAGTCTGCAGAGACAGAAGATACATGACATATTGAAATTGGATCCGTCACAATGACGAGATGAAGCTCACAAAACGTTGTGCCAGCAGTTTGCGGGGGCCTCCTGAGAAGCAGTTCAGAGGTCATCTTCAATCTGCTGTCACTCACTTGCTGGCAAGGTGCCTGCAGGTGCCTCAGTGCTCTCTAGAAACAAGGAAAGGAAAACACAATAAGATTGGGAACAGATCCCACCAGTGACCCATTGCAGTGACTCACAGACGGACAGATGTCATGCAACATAACTCGTCCTGATCAAAAGTGTGACTTATGAGGAGAAGAACATTACCATCCTGCTGGGTTTGGGCTACAGCTGTGAGCGCTGTGGAACAGAAACCACATGAGGGGAGTGTTTCGCGGCATAAAAACAAACACACAGCGACTCAACCATAATTAAACAAGATGATTTGTGTGTTCTGTTTGGCAGCGTTACCGTGGAAACTGCAGAGGAGCAGGACCACTGGAAAGCTGCCCATTCCTTCAACTTGTAAGAGGTTAGCTTTACGAGCTGGAGGAAACCGAAGAGGAAAAGAGTCAGGGTGATTTAACAGAGTGGAACTGTTCAATATCCTCACTCAACATTTTTGTGCTGTTTATGTTTCCTTTAATCTCATTGCATATAAATGCTCCCAACGTTCCAGGCCACTGTAATGTTTTCCCCAAAGCTTCACTCCAGCTAAAAACACAGAGCGTAGTGCTGTGTTTTGGTTAACAGACAAGTTGTCATCGTTATAGAAGAGTGCCTGATGTCATTTTGCTGTGGAATAATCTGTTATACAGTATATTCGTGTATACTTTGGACTGCTTGTAAACAACTAGATAAAAGTGGCAGTGGAGCAACTATTAAAAAAAAAACTTTTAAATGACACTTTCTACCTGTGAAAATGTGTTTTTCTTCTTTCACTCACTCCTTTTCCTGCTTTTTCTCCTTCTCTCCCGCCCTGCATCATTCCTCTCGTGATGTGTCAGTGTAACTTTGGAGTCCAAGACGTGAGTTCTCTCAAAAGAATGTGTTTTTTTTGTGTGTGCCCTATTTGAGCACCCCTCCGCCCCTCCTCTGTTACAGTCGCACATTCTTTTCCAGCTTTCTTTTCATAGGACATATCACTGCTTTCCAACTGTACGATCAACACTAACCCCCTTTTGAGCATCACAATTTTGTCACAAGTTGTGTCTTTTCTGCTCCGATAATCCCAGAGTCATACATTCACACAATTGCTGAATTGAAAACTCTGGATTGTCCGGGTTTAGCTCCGTGCATGCCTCTGTTGATCTGTTTGTGAGAGTGACATGTTTTTCCCTTTTTGTACTTCCTAAACTCTGTATGCAACCACTCATCGCATAGCAATAAAATCTTAATACTGAAGTGAATCAGTTAATCAGCCAAGCATTCACTCTTCACATTTCATGTTTAGATCTAATCATTAGGAAATATCCTTCCATTAATATATTTGGATGTGAGATATCCTGCATGTGCAGATGCTCCTCTGTGCACTTCCTACAGTATGTGTTAAAATCAGGTGAAAAAGAAAACATAATTAACTTGTACTCACAACTTTTGCTGTCGTCCACAACTGCTTTAGTTTTATGAATCTTTTGTCTTCCCTTCTTTCCCCTCCTTCCCTCTCCTCCCTCCTCCTCCTCCCCCTCCCCTAACCATCATAGTTCTTTTGCTTTTTTACTTTTTTTCCTGCCCCAATTCGGTATAGAAAAATAAATAAATTACAATCTGATGTCTTCCATGAAAAGTTTGTCCCTTTGGTTCACACACACCTTTTTCTTTTCATCTTGAGCTAGACAAATGTACAGTTCATGTTGGGGTCACCACACAAAGCAAAACATTCAGACTTTACATTAAATGTCTAAAGGCACACACAGGACCAAAGACTTTTATTGACCTTAATTACTCTCTTTAAATAGTTCTCGAAGTCTTTGTAAACACATATGTAAAGATACCACTGACTGTATTTAAGATATTGAGGTCAGAAATGCAGGTTTGTCTGACTATTTTCTACTCTTGTTGTAAGAGCATGTATTTTTCTTTTTCCCAGCAAGTTACGTTTCTCCTGGAATCTGCTTGGATTTGTTGGCGTATTAATGGAGAATATGAAATTTGAAATGAATGAATTAATCAGAGGCATCCAACCACAGTGGGCCTCAAATTTCACTTTTGCGCTACTTAATATAACCTGCAGATGGAGCAGTGCACATAGAATATGGTCTTCAGGTTCTGATGCCAGGGTTAATTAAAAAAAGTTGGTGAATTGGTGAATTGATACAGTTAATATTATCAAGTGAGTTAAAGTCTTTGATTATCACTTAGACTACTGTAATGTGAGTTAAACAAAAGATGACCTAACCCAGGTAATCCCTGCAGTTATAATCAGTGACAGCCAATGTTTCACTCCCCTAATTGATTAGTTGGTCACTAGAACATTTCTAAAGATGTTTAAAACACCAAATATTTTCTCCCCTCAGTTTTATATCACTGCAAACTGAATATCTTTGTGTTTGGGGGAAAAAAGAGACAATTGAAGAGGTCACCTTGGGTTCTAGGAAATTGTGATGGGTATGTGTTTCTATTTTCTGACATTTTATAGAGTAAACTATTAATCAGTTAATTGAAAAAGTTGCTTTCGCAGTTTACAAGAATAAATCTTGCTCGTTTTGTTCTTATTTTGAGAATGCATATCTTTGAGGGAACGTGGTTAAAACACAAGTTAAAGAAGGCGAAATGTAGAAGGAGACCTCATCTGCTTTTATAGGCCTATATTTTATATTTGTAAAATAAGCACATTATACAAGATTACATTTCTCTGCATACGTATTTGCTCAGTTGACCTAACTGGATCATAAGAAAGACTGTGATCCTTGATAAGCCCAAGGTATTTACACTCTGTCTCTCAACTTACTAACTTACATAATGTCTACATTTCATTGTTGTCTCTCAAGACTATGTCTGAAAGGACAAGAAATAGATGCGGCACAATAACTTGCAAAATGGCATCATATTAAATCTCACACAATTCAATTGATGAACGTCAGCATTAGAGTATAAAGGATTTTAACCAATTTCATAGACAGTTTATGTGTGCATGTATACATAATTATACACGTGTCTGTCATCATTAACCTCCAATTCCTTCATGATAAGTTTATATAACCTGTCCTTTAAATATCCCAAGTGGTTATCTGTGCAAAGATGAAAGTGACTATCAAGGCCTTAGTTCTTGACCCTTTGTCTCAGGGGCTCTTTGTGTTGAAAAGATGCCTTTTCATTGGGAATGGGAGCTGCATTGGGAGGGAAACTTGACTCTGCAATGGCTTCAATGGACTTGACTAATATAAATATTGCTATGCATACCACTGAAGTCACACACGGCAAAACTCTCACTGGCGTAGTCGGTACAAGAGGGAGACACTCATCATCCCCTTGACATATCGGGACTACACGGACTCCAGGGTGTGTGCCGGTAGGGTGGCCCTAACAAGGTCGACTGGGCAAGCCCGATGACAGCTTGACAGATGGAGGCAGTGTAAGCAAAAGGGAGGAGGAGAGGAGCCAAGAGGGACGATCAATCCTTTGAACACATCAACCTGCCACTCTTCTAACGCTGCTCCGACGTGAGGGGAAAGCAGAGCTGAGAGGGGCACACGCACACATGAAGAAAGAGAGGAAATGCAAGAGTGGAGTAAAAGAGTCAGGTGGTGGGGGAGCGAGAAAGCAACACAGAATGGTTAACAGCAAACATGCCAGATAGTAAACACATGATAATCTCCCAACTTGTTTATTAGTTGGATGCCGATACATGAGGCATGCCAGCTCTACAGCACAGTATGCTCTCTCACCAACCTCCTACTGACCCAACACACTCCTCCTTCACTCTGCTTCTCTCTTACTGTCTCTGCATTTCAACCAGCTGACATTTTTCATGTACTATTTCCAATGCAAGACGTTTGAAGTAGTAAGGACTGACCAAAATATCTTCACAATGTAGAAATGTCCACACTGTGTTTTAAAACTTAAAGATAGCAATTCAAGCGCGCACACAAATACACACAAACACGGCAGCAAATGAACTCTCCCATTAGCACATTGCAGTTCTCAGTAACTGCTCACTCCCGACATACTACAAACTAGATCCAGTGTTTCCAATCAACACTTCTCGCCCAGCAAAAGTGATAATTTGAGGCTCTTCTAGAGAATCAATATCATCCCTCTCAGTGCTGGTTAAGCAATTAAAGTAATCGAACCTTAACAAGCAGCCAGGTAACAGAGAAGGCTGTGGGTGTGGGGGGGATCAAGGCCACGATGAAGTGTTTTGATTCACTGTGGGGATACATTTCAGACATTTGGCCATATGAACTTTTTATTTGCTCCACTCTCACATCATAAATCTGGCTCTTATACCAGCGTCTGTCTTTGCAGCTATCATTCTCACATCATGTGACATCTTTTATCAGATATCTGTCTAAATATCTATTACATCTAACGTCATTTTCCAGCTGGTCTCCTCGTCCTTCATCCATGTGGCCCATAAACATATGAATAAAAGAACATGAAACTCTCGCTCTCTAAAGACAGAAACAAGGTAACTAATGGTAGATATGAAATATACATTTTGAAGACGCTTTATCGGCAGTGAATGTGGCACCATGCAGACCTTCTAGAAGTTTAAACTTTTGTGCCAAAGTCAGCTTCATTCATTAGTGGTAGCATGAAATACGATTCTCGCTGACATTATAAATCTAAATCCGATGTTCTCGGGTTTCGAGAGTGGGCAGTGTGTCTTTCATCTTCACAAATGTTTAAAGGTCTGCCGTGACTTGGAAGAACAAACAAGATTTAAAGTCAAAAGACCCCTCTGACATTGCATTTGGATATTAGTTAGGACCGGCAGCACACATATATAATTGTCCTTGTTTTTCCTGTATTCATCATCCCTGCTCTCTGTCCTCATGGACTTCGAACAGCTTTGCACCTCGATTAGCATCTTTGTGTTGGCACTCTATTGTCTCTGTGGTGCGCACCATGTGTTTCCATTTGTCAGACTGTGGTCCTCCATTAACCCCCCACCCAAGTGTCACATGAGCCTTGTTTGTCTGTTTCCCAGAAAACAGCACATCCCAAACAACTGTTACTAGAGGAGATTTCAAGTGTTTTAATGTAAACATACTGTACTATGAGACACAGCTAAATAAGTAGTTGTTGGTTCATGTTACTGGCGACATTTCTATCCCATGCCCCGTGTCCCACATTTTGATTGGCTCTAGTTTTCAAATGTTAAACCACTCTATGACAGGTGCTTTTCTAAAATCAATTGTATCCATTAGTTATGAAGAAAGCAGGGCAGGCTGTCATCACAGGGCTGTGTTTGATATCAATCAAGTGCAGATTAATCTGTCCCTGTCCTTGCTACGCCACGGCCAGCATGGAACATTTTGAGTCACCACAAAGTCACAAGCTATGCAGATTTAGACGGAATATGATGGAAAATACCACAAAGAAAAGGAAATACAGTTATAAGAAAGAAGCCGGTGCACGCTTCCTTTTATGTTTACTGTATTTACTCTGCATGGAAGTGGAGAAAGTTGCATTAAAGTACTTCATATGCTAAAGACCCAACCTGTAACCTAACCTGCATAACATTGTCTATTGTCTGCTACTTAATCAACCAAAGCTTAGATATGTTACAAGCTAAGGGGCAGAATAGAAATGTTTACTTTTTCGGAATTGATCACTTTACAGAATTGATCCCACATTGTCCCTCACAAAAAAAATCGTTGTCCCACATTTGAATTGTTGTGATCTAGTCACCCGGTCCAGGGAGGGACTGACTGAAAGGGAGCCAGCCACCATGGTTGCATAAAGTAGAAATGATCACAGAAGCAAAGATGAAAGACAAAGACAAGGCCCAAGTGGCATGAGAGGAGCAACGCAAGGGAAAAGTAATCAGCAAGAGGGCCGGAGATAAAAACAGAGCAGAGACGAGGGAGTTAACAGGCAAGATGGGTCAGAGTGTTCCATCAGATTGTGCTGTTACAGGCCTGCGGGCGCCAAGGCAGCCTGACTTTTGCATTTGGAGGGCTGTGGAGTGCAGATAGTCAGGGGGAGGTGATGATGTGCACGGTGTGTAAATAGATGGGTCTGGGGTCTATTTATAAATCCATCTGGAGTGGCCCTTAGCAGGGGTTAGCACAGTCACTACTGACATACACACACAACTGCACTGCACATTAGCAGCTTGCTACCAACAGGGATCCACTCCAAACTGAAACTGAGATATTGTGCACGTTGCACAAGCAACAGTGAACATGATTTTCTTTCCTTTCAATTATAGCAGTAGAGGTAAACCCAACTCCATTTGTTGTGAGCAATAGTTCATTTTGAAGGTGTACTTTATTATTTTATTGCTGCTAAGTTCTTTGCATCTAAAGTGGTAGACAGTTGTTAACATCGTAGCAGGATTCAGTGGTGGCACAGGGGTGCATAGTGGCTGCAAGCAATGCCAAAGCATTCTCTTTGGGGCTCAGTAATAGGAATGCAGGTGATTTTTCAACCAGTTATTGTCCTCTGTGACAGATGTAGGACAAATATCTCCTGGAACAATATGGAGGTCAACCTGCCATGTGCCTTCATTTCACATGAGGTTTGTTTTACTGTCAACATGTCAATCAATCATGTATCCAAGCACAGTGTAATATATTAAATAAAGATAATTTTGGGTTCAAGTAATTGGCAGTGTGAATAAATGTCACAGCTCTCCTGCTGCAGGTAGTATGTCTGGGGTTTGCATCACGCACACTTGGAAGAAGATCATGCTGGTATCACTATCTGGTTGTATTGTTCAGTCCAATTTTAGATGTGCTCCTTGTGTTCAACAGCACCTGTTGCCTCACCACGTCAAAGATGTCATCATAGGTATACCTTTCCAGAGTCTCCTGTAAAGGTTTTATAAGTTCTCTATGATTATATATAAATAATTGATTCTTTATTTCATTATTTACACATAACTAAAAAGTAAATTATGTTAAAAGTTTCTTTATTAATTAAAGTGTTGGTTAAAAAACACAGCAGGTAATGTTGGAAGGAAACTATACTGATACATCAAGCAAATGTTTCTTATTTATAGGATATGATATATTATATATTTATGTATGGGCAGTTGTATTAGAATTCATTATTAAATTCATTATTACAACATTATTAAATCATTTATTTGGTTTACTAAGTTTATCTTTACATTATTAGGTTTATTAGTACAATTATATTCCAACTTTTTTAACCTTTAATTTGTTGAAAGATTAAAATATCCTGATCTCCTCCTATGCACCATCAGAAACACTGATATTTCAGTCAAAAGCAATCAGGGACCCTGAGGTGAGGTTGTGTGACAATAGCCGAGAAGCAGCAGTAGGAGTTGTCCTTGCAGTAGAGCATTATGGTGTTTTCAAAGGCTCATCTTCAGATTTACAACTGTATATGAACCAAAAGTGCCATTTTAAAACACAATTTGTCTTAATTGTGTAATTTTGCACCATTTAAATAAAATGGACTTGACTTTAAATGATGCTGTATGTGTAACTTATGAACTGTGTCTCATGAGAAGTTCAGACAAATACAAGGAGTTTATTTTATTTAGACAACTATTCCAATACAGATTTTTAAAGGCACTATTATACAACTTGTAGTTTCAAACATCAAACATTTCTTATTATCGGCAGACTCTTCTCAATAAGGCACACACACATACATACACACATACACACTGGACTATATACAACAATGAAAGTAACTGTAACTTTACTAAGGATATTTATAAAAAATATGAAAATATAGCACCTTATAAAGTTTATGTTTGTATCAGACTTAATCTATAATCATACACATTGCAGCATAATACCAAACATGTTATATTCATTTGAAACAATTTTATAAAGACAAAGCTTATCTCTCCCCTCTTCCTTCCCTCACCAGCTCCTCCGCTACCCCACCTCCCTCTCTTATTTTTCTGGCCTCATTCTCTGCCTCGTCTGCCTTCCTCTTCTCTTCTCTCTCTGTCTCCATCAGCCACGGCCCTCCCAGGTAGCTCAGGATCTCCTCTGGATTCCCTCTGTGTTTAGGCTCAGGGTGGAGCAGTTCTTTCAAAAGAGTCATCACTAGTGGGCTGAGGCCCTCGAACTGTGAAGGAGGAGGGTTGTCCCTTTGGTTTTCATTCATGATTGTGTAACTGTCTATTACCTTCTCACCAATCCACTCAACGTCCCTGATATTCTCCTCTTTTTCAGCCTCACGGTTGAACCACTCCTTGTATCTGCGGTAGCCACGGTCATCACTGGTGCTCTCCTCCCAGGGAAAGCAGCCAGTTAAGAGGCAGTAGACGAGTACACCAAGGGCCCAGCTGTCCATACTGGGCTCCACTGTTATCCAAATGTCCTCCATCTCTTCTTCATTCCCCTCACACACCCTCCTCTCCATCTCCCTCTCGGCTTCTTTGACAGGTTCCACCTCAGGAGTACAGAAGGGCGACTCGTACCAGACAGCACGAACAGTGGAGCCGATGGCCCGGGTGAGGCCAAAGTCACCCAGTTTGACCCAGCGACAGGAACTGTCACACAGGAAGATATTCTCAGGTTTGATGTCACGGTGGACGAAGCCCAGGGAGTGGAGATGTGTAACAGCTCCGCTCAGCTGGGACATCACCCTCTGGACACGCTCTTCATCCAGCCCAACCTGAAAGAGAAAGACCAAAAAACATACTCTCTTTAATTTAATTTCATAGGAGATTAAAAAGAGTCTGGTTAACACTGCAACGCTGGCACAAAGACAAACAACATCTGCGTCACCAGAATGGTTTATGACGCTCTTGGAAGCCCCTGCTTTACTTCATGTACCTCCACTTCATTCAGTGAGAGCAGGGTGCCCTTATACTTATCACTACTCTATTACTGGCAGTGACACAGACACAGAAGAGGGCGAACTGGAAGCTCTTTATCATGCAGGTCTGAAAAGGACACGGTCAGCACATTTACATTTTCCATGCAGGCCTAAAGTGTAAGGCTTTTGAACTGCAGCGGCGTTGCATTTGATTCAAATTGTCATGCAGATGTTAATCTACAACCTTGTCTTTTTGAAATTACATTCATTACATATTTATTGTATGAATTATGTCCAGGTAACATTTTTACAGTGAAGAAAGTAGTTTGTTCTTTGGTAAGGTTAGGAAAAGATAGCAGGTTTTATTAAATCTTGATAAACTAAACAATTTTCTCCTTTGCTTTAAACCCTAACACCACAATCTTTCCCTAACTTTAACCAAGTGCTGTGAGTGCAAAAAACAATTGTCATTATGTTTGCGTTGGTGCGAGATGGCAAAAAACAAATTAAATATATTTTCAGTAAACATCATTAAGATGTTTGGTATCAACACTTTGCAACTTGCAAGATACATTAATTGGAAAACTTTCCTTGTTTTGTTGATAAAAAAACATAAGTTGGGTGGCATTACATTTCTTTTAAAATGTGTTTTTCCTGTTACAAATGATTATGATATAAATGTAATTTCCAGGAGACAGAGGCGCAACCCAACCTGACAATCATACCATGCAGGACATAAACAAGTTTAATGCCACAAAGCAGCCAGACTGACCTCTGATACTATTACACTGTAGAGGTCACCATATAGACCAGCTTGCTGGGCAAAGACATAGTAGGACGGTGTGGAAAAGAAGATGCCAAGGGCCCGTGTGAGGGAAGGATGGGTGCAGTAAGAGAGGGAGAGGTTGTATTCACGCAGGAAGGAGGTGAGCGAGGTGGACTGACGAGGGAAGAACTTCAGAGCCATAGGGGTTCCTGAAAGGAAAGAATCAAGACAGCATGTGTTGAATACTACAACATCTAATCAGCTTTAGTCTGATGTTGTCAAAAAGCTGTCATCATTGAAGGAATGTGAATGTTATGCATCATTCACACTGTGAACAAATATAACTTCCCCTTTGGGGCGACTCTGTTACACAGCTACATCCCAGTTGCCGCAACTCTATCTCAGAGAATGTACCAAAGCACTTCATTACAGCAACAGAAGCGCAAAAGGTTAAGTGAACACTATCAAAAGACAGACCTGTCCTCACATTACTGCAGCGCTCACCCTTTACAACATGTGTAGATTCTTCACTAGAAAGAAACCTGAGTCTGGGATGAATGCGCTGCAGTAGAAAGATAACATTTCACTAATTTCAGATTGGGCAGGAGGTTCAGAACATAATGAAAAGTCTTAATTAAATGTATTAACATCAGGAAATTTGCGGACTAAATTGAAATGTAACAGGCTGAGGCTGCCATGACCTTTAACCTTGAGTTGTGCACTAACCTCGCTTTCTGTGTACAGCTAGCATGACCTTCCCGTAGGATCCCTCTCCCAGGAGCTTTACCACCTGGAAGTGTTCGGATACCTTCAGACTGGGCATGGACTGCGCCGACAGGAAACATCGCTCGTCAAGTTCCTGAGCAGTTACAGCCTATTTACACACACACACACACACACACACACAAATCCTTATTTAGTGTCAATTCATGATTGGTTCAGTTGCTTCAGGTGAAAGGAGATCTACAGCTTGACTGTCATGTGTTGATGTTGATGATTTCACAGAATGAAGTCTGAATCTGAGGCCGAACATATTCGAGTGTTACCTGAACCTACGACTTTAAAAAGGAACTTGCAACTTTAAATCTCATATATCTCATTGGTTGCAATACTAATACTTTGCAAATACTATTTTTTGTGGGTTGTTGTTTTCTTGTTATTCATACTATCAACATGCTATCCAGGCATGTATTTGTCAGAAATGAGTCGAACATATTGTGTTACGTTCACTTTCTGCCGATCTGGCATGATCTCTATCGTCCTACACACGGGATAAACTTTAGACATCAACGTGATGTCTTATCAGTGCGATCAGAACATTTGGCACTGTCGTTCACTTTCCAACGTCATTCACTGTCCGTGCAATCACATCCTTGATCACTTCCTTTGAAGTAGATCCCTAACCACATAACCCGGCCAATTAGGAAAGCTGTGAACGGTTACCACACACAGCTTAACACAAAAGATAAAGCGATTGCAGGAGGATGACATATTTTTACTTTTGACCTTCCACATGTTGCGTAACTCTGCTCAGTGGGCAACAGATACATTTTAATTAAATTACACCTGTTACGCTCCTACAAACAAATGTAACATTCCTGGTGGTTATTGATATTATATAGATATTATTGGACCTGATTATGTTTCTTTGAAATTTTCCAATAAATCTCTGAAGGTGATAACAGATCAAATGGTGCCATGTGACACTTAAGATTTATTTTTGAGTTATGGCAGCAGCTGTAAAAAAAAATGGATGGATCTCAGTTATGAGTTGCTGCTCGACAAACAAATGGATCTGATGTACAGCCAAAAATAAGACTGCAGGTTTCAGCCAGTCTGAGAGTGCTGTTTGTCACAGATGTTACCAAGACAGCGATATTTAAAATAGAGCTGATGATGGGCTGCTTCAAAATCAATGGTGTACAGGTTGATGCTGCTCTATTGGCGCACCAATGTTTTCCACTTTGTATCTCCAGAGCGTCAACTCATCAGACATTTAGAAAAATGACTAATAAAATGCTCCATTTGAAACAATTTCCAAATGCAAAGAAAGTAAATTTGGAAACACAATGCTTATACTTCTAACTCTATGGTACATAGTAATGTATCTATATATGTATATATCATATGCATATGCACATATAAAAGAAAAAGGTATTTAAATAAAATATTTTGTACGTGTATATTCGTGGTTGCCTTTTCACAGTTCTGAACTCAAAGCAAAGTGTTAAGTTCCTGAATTCAAATCTCAGTTGGGTTTCATTCACAGAGCTGTTAACACATGTTTGGGTTATCACATTATTACATTCTCCAGCTGCTTTTCATTCCACTCACGCCGGAAAGAAATGAATATAATTTATTACGTTTTGATAATATCTTGGGACTGAGTTTTCAGCAGGTCACAGTTTGACTTGGTGATTTAGTGGCTCTGATACATTAATAGTCACAGATGCATGTAAAACATTTGCTGCATCAGGAGCTTCCTGACATTTGCTATGTCCTTAAAGCAGAGGTGATTATTAATTAACTCCCTATTAGTAAATGGCACTTTCTTTAAAGCGACAAGTGATTTTAATAAGGGCTTCGCATGAGCTAATGTCATTAACAAATTTGAAGTCCGGTACAAGTGCTCAACATTACAAGCTGAAAATCTAACCCTCTCTATGGCACTGTCCATCAAACATTTGCACCCTCAGAATAATTTTGCAATAAAAAGCCAGCAATGCATTTGTGCACTGTCTGCATGTCAGCTCCTCATATAGCTGCAAAAACATGCATATAATATATAACCCCCCCAACAAGTTGTACATACAGGAAGCAATTGCATTCATGCATGTTTTTGTTGTTTTTGTTTGCACAATATGATTATTTTATTAATATTACTTAACTAATAAGACTGCCATTTAAGTGTGCATGTAATGTATTGCAGCTGATTTATCTTCACAGGAATAAAGTGCAATACTTACTGTCATTTTCTGTTTAGTTGGCTGATCTCTGTTCACTTTGTCTCCGCTCTTTTCAACATCTAAAAACTTAAACTTCAGACAAACTGCTGCCACTTAAACTATTCTGTGTTGGAGTTCAACTGTATGTCCTCGGCTGCACTGATAATTAACTGGAAGTGAAGCTGATTTCTTTTTTGCCTTTGCTCCGTGGTTCCATGCAGTAGCACAGCAGCTTTATAAAGGAGGCTCATAGATGTTTACTGGAGACCTGGATATTGACTGTGTGCCTCTTCCCGGGAGACACACTGAACTCTCTCCCTCTCTTTTCCTACTCTTGTGCCAACTCTCTCTCCCTCTGCCTCTAGTCTGTTATGCTGGCAAATACGCGTGAACCAGCTACAAGGCATGTCAAACCTCCCCCTTTACTCCTGTGCACCCCCCCACCCCCCCAAACTCCCACTATGCAGCAGTGTTAATATCCAACCGTTTCCAATCAGTCAGTCAGTTGGACCACATTAACCCATCGCTCTCCTCTCCTCAGCTGTCACTCACTTTCTGTCCAAATACACACCCCCTCCTCCCCCTTCTCTTTCCATGTCTCTCTCTCTTTCTCACCCTCTCAGTCAGTCTGAGTCAGTGAATTCCCCCCACAGTGTAGGATTCCTCATTTAATCAATAGGTATGCTGGAATGATCGGAATAGGCTAACAAGCTGTACCCATGATCCCTGAATCTTACTGGGATTACAGGCTATAGTCAAACATGCCACTTGACCCTTTTATTCTCCAATATCACTGTCCTTTCTTATTGTGCTGTCTAAGTATGCAGGAGGCATAATAATGTTTAAAATATTTTAAATCCATGTCATTTCCACATGAAATCCTCTAGCATCTTGAGTTTACAGGGAAGAACACCTTCAAGATTTTTCATTATTATTTTTAGCATCATCAACAAACTTTTCCCCATCCTCTTACTCCTCCACTCTCTTGTCATGAAACCCATCTCCCTTTTATCTCTTTCCAAGTGCAAGTTATGGCCTACCATCACAGACTGACATAGCTAACAGCTGAAACTTTGCCTTGCAAAACACCTTCATTCTGTACTTTGCTGTCTACATGCCAGCTGTTTCTTTCGCCTGCTAAACACCAGCTGCAGGTCTCCAACTCCTATGGCCTCGACACCCTCCTCCTCTTTCTGTCCACTCAGATAGATTCCCCTGGTACTACACACTACAGAACTATTATTGCCACGGGCCTGATGGGTGTTCGTTATGTAACACAAACACTAGCTGCTATCACAACGGCCTGGTCCCTGCTCAGGTTACTACCACTGTGCTGGTCATGTCGCCGGTCATAGACCAATGACCAATATGTACTTCCATGTTTGTGCCTGCACCACAGGGTCCTCTGGCCCCTGCTGTGACAACCTTCGACACTGAAGTACATCTTTTTATTGCTTTCACCAAGTTGATGCCAGGAGAGAGTCGATTTCATTCACAAATACAAGACGTAAAATGCAAAGCGTAAATAGTCTCCATGCAATCATATACTACATGAATGCGGATTCATGGATACTGATGCTCAGAGGATCTCACACACACACACACAAGCACAAGAGCACACACTTGTGACAACTTTACTGACAGTTAAGTTGCAAAATGTTTTACAGATAAAATGTTCTTCTCTTACACATATACAAATGATTATATAAATGTTGCATACAGTTTGAATTGCAGTGTAGAGGATTTTGTTTACAGTGTGTGAGAAATTAATCTTTGTAAAGTGCACATTTGTTTTGTCGTGTATTAACTGAGAGGAGACAGCAAGATTTTTTTCCTTCTTTTTTCTCATTAAGAAAAAAAAAGAAAGAATAAATTGACATAATATTTAATTGCAGAAAGTCATATTGGTTTGTAATTAAATAAATTTCTTAGTGCTATAGCTGTACAGGGTCACATAATGTAATGTTTCAGTTTCCTGGTACGTGTTGTGAGAATGGTGCAATGAAAGAAAAAATTGATTTCAAAAGAGGATGAAGCATTTTGCAACACCAGCTGTTTGGAAATTATAGGAAGAGTTCAAACTATAGGGATCAAAAACACCATTTTAGTGTAATTTTATGCATTTCAGAACATAGACCAAAATAAAAGTCTCCTACATATCACAACTTGAAGGTAAATAGTGTAAGATGCAAGTGTGTAAAGCAAGAACACGACTGGATCCAACCCACAATCTCTCATTGAAGAAAACATGACATATATTACAAAAAAGCAAATGTCTGAATAAAAGAAAATTAAGACCCGGCAGAATCATGTGACGGGTTCCAGTTTTAAAACTTGCATCATCTTGACCAGATTTGAGTGCTGAATTAGATTAGGGCATCAAACTTTTATCTTGGGACCAGCCAATGAATGTCAACCAAAATGAGCTAAATGATTAAAATAATTATTGATCCACTTAGATATTTAGAAGTTAGTAGATTTGATGTAACACATTGATCAAACACCAACAATACAATTTATTAAGCTTGTTTGATTTTTTTTTTTTCGAACTGCCAGTTTTTGGTTTAATTGTGGTACTTTCCTTGTTTTCATGTTCATGACTCATGTTGTCTCAAACTCCTCTCTTGTGACAGATTTGGGCCAATTAGCGTAAAAAAGGAAATACTGTATAAAGTCTCTCTGTGACATAACAGTGGAACAACACCTATGAAAATAGCTTTTATGCTCGTTATAATCGCCTGCATTTCTTTGTTTATCTTCATGAGATTAGTGTTTCCAAAGCAGTGCAACCGTGAGTTACAGTTATATAGTTTGCTTGAGTCACGCTGCAATGTTTCCTCCAGTCTCATCCTCCCTGGTGAGAAGGCAAAGATAAAAGGATAAAGAGATGCAGGATAAAATGGGAGCTTGTAACACACATGCATGCCAGCTGTTACTGTGTTGTTCTGATCTATGAGGCTTACCACATATTATTTATGGTTACACTGACAGACGTTTCTGAAGGAAGCTGTTCTACTTGATGTAAGAGTCGGTACAACAGTGCCTCTGTGTGGACAGTGTGTGCGATTGCATTACTGAAGAGAAACCACAGACAGTGTCATTCATTACTTTATGTTTAGAGAGTGAGTTTGGATTGTAGATTGGTCTTTCTTTAATAAAAGTGCTGTGAGCTTAAACTTAAAAGTGCAAAGACATGTTGCTCAGTTTTGTAGGTTTCAGTATGAAGTGACATGTTGCAGATTAAAGTTTTGAAACACTGAGTATAATCAATCAATATTCAGCACCCGGCTCATGTGTCTCTCCTCTGAGCCTCCGACAAGAAGACTTCTGTTTGACGAGTGGTCCTCTGAGGAAGAAAATTCATCAGAAACTTTTATAACCTCCATCTACGTTGTCCAAATGGCAAACATGAATACAAAAGAGCCCTGTGAGGGATGATTTTACTGTCAGTCTTAATATTAAAGGACAGGTTGATGTGACAATAATGGTGATGATGTCTCATTGTGACTTTGTGCACCATGTTAACAAAATAAAAAGTTTATCATACTGAACTATTTTTAGAGTTTTAAAGGTCCAGTGTGTAACATTTAGGAGGATCTACTGGCAGAAATGTAATTTAATATTCATAGGTATGTTTTTATTAGTGTATAACTGCCTGTATATATGAATCATTGTGTTTTTGTTACCATAGAATAAACTGTTTTATCTACAGACACAGGTCGCCTTCCTTGGAAGTCCGCCATATTGAACCACCATGTTTCTACAGTAGCCCACAATGGACAAACCAAACACTGACCACAGCTTTACAGTTTTATATATTATACTATACTAGTTTATCTACACAGTATCAGTCCAGTTATTCTATTGGTCATGCCAGAAGATCACATGTCTGAGGACTTGTGAGATTATTAATTTCATGGAAAGAAAAAACATGTATTCACTTCTGGATTTTTTATTTTTTGCTGTTTGGTTGAAATATTGAATAGTTTTTCCTCTTTAGGCCTTGAATAGTATTAAAAAACCTAACCATGAGGGAGGTTTAAAGGGGAAATCTCTCTTTGTTAGAACAACTAACAACCCATAGACATCTGGAAAGTGAGAGACCCCAGCTAGACACTGCTTTGCACATGCACATGCTGAAAATTAATATTCAACAGTGTTGCTTTTTATAAGCCTGTGGTGTGTTTTTAAATGTAATTAACTAAAGAGTGCAGTTAATTACAAGTATAATGCAGCATAAAATGGAAATGCTCAAGTAAAGTACCTGAAAATAATATTTAAGTACAGTTTGGTCCTTTTAAACAATCCTTTCCACATTGGTGTATTATATTAAATTAAGGTTATTATTTCACATCTGATAGACCTGTAGAACAACTACACAAAACATTAAAAAAACAACTATTAAAACATGTAGAAGAGCACGAAAGAGGATGTGATTTGTTCCCCCTTACACAGTCAGTGGGCTGAATTTGAATAAATAGGGGAAATAGACCAAACACCCAATCAAACGTTGCGTCTTTAACTCTCCCTCGGAAGCCTTTAAACATTCACGAAACGTCGTTTTGCGTGTGTCTTTTCATTTGGGACTTTAATTTTGCCTCAATTAACTCAATTAATTATTCATGAGTCTTCTACTACCATCCCAGGAAAACAAAGCTACAGGGGGTGCGGTCTTTCCTGTAGTCGAGAACGGAAGCGGAAATTCGGCCATCTCCTCGTACATTCAAGCTACTACAGGGTCAGTACACACTTGATTTTGGATATTTATTGCGGCGTGTTGTCAGTATTTTCTTGACATTTTCGGCTCGTCGTTCAAACGCGTGTGTCCAACGCTGTCCTGGAGCAGGTTGCCAGGTACAAGCAGCTCGTAACAGTGTGACAGCCTCTGTTGCCAGGTGCGAACTAACTAGCAGCTAGCTCGCTAACTGCTGCCCTGCTAGCTGGCTAATCTTTCCCAGCAGCAGCAGCAGCAGTAAGTGATTTTCTTCTGTGAGTCCCAACTGTGCAGGTCACCTGAACGCACCTTTCTGCTGTGGTAGGTTCAGTGTTGCGATGAGAGAATACGCGTGTGGTTTGACTTTGCCTGCCTGTTCGTAGCCTGCTAACTTGCAGCCTTCTGCACCCTCTGTTTATAATACTTTACCCAGACTTCACTCAAACCCTGCTGGCAATTCCTGCTGCTCTTGTGAACACTTTATGTCAGGGTATCCATTAACTCTTGTGTGTGTAGTCACGCCGACTCTTCGGTTAAGTTAACAGCTGTTCATTTATATGTATAATAACGTCAGTCTGTTTGGTTGCTGAGCTAACTTGGTAGGTGTGACAGGGAGAGCTGCAGTTGTCTGGATGGGGAACGATTGTTAACCTTATCTGTGTGCAGGCCAGCTGGGTGGGGGGGGTGACTGCATCCAAGTGATAGGGAGGAATAAGTTATAGGACTTCACAATTAATCGCAATCATGTATAAGTGCAATATCCAAACCGCAGAAGCTGCAGATGTTTTTGATAACAGGTAAAATGTGTGACAAACAGCATTGTAATGAAG